ACTGCCTGGCCAGACGTACGACACAATACACCAGCATCTCTCACTGCTGCCTCAAATAACATGCATTTGTTTCTAAGCACTTCAACACTATTATAACTAGAGTACCCCTGGAAAATTTCCCTTTTCAACACTGGGTTACTCAGGCCCACCATAACTTTACGTAATAGCATGTACTCAGAGAGGTCGTTATCACAGGTGGGACATTTAAATTCACACTCCACTGCCTCTGAGAAGCATCGTTGAAAATACCTTTTCATGGGCTCCTCTTCACCTTGTTTGCTGTTGAAAAACTCGTTCCATTTCACAGCTTGGTTTGAAGATTGAAGAACCATTCCACTGATGGCGTCCAGGGCTTCTTTGGGCGAGAGCTGCTCCCACTGACCGCTGGGGTATCTCGAGTCAATCACCCTTTGGAGTGCGGGGACGCAGTTCAGGCGAATGTGGAGTGTGGCCACCAGTTGTGGCCACCCGTTCAACAGCACCCATGACTCCATGGACCGCCTCCATGTCCTAAACGCAGCTGCTGGCATTTCTGCCTCACACTTCTCTGGAGCGACAGCTGCTGAGGGCTTCATGACCGGCATAGAAGCATGACCACCGCCAGCACCTAGAGACGCCATCTGAGCCATCAATGCACTCATGGCCTGCTGCTGGGCGCGCGTGGTGTTCCCGGCCGGTGTAGAGAAGCCCTGGCGTCCCCTTGAGGGCGTCGAGAATCGTGGACGTGTAGGGGCCATGTCAGCGTTCTTGTCAGGGCTGTAATGGCGTGTCGGGCCCCGACATATCCTACTCACTGTGCGCCATGTGAGAGGTTGGAGTCATAGACCACGTTCTTTATAGACTTTATTCTAACAGCGTCAGCTGGAGACTGGCAACCGGGCGCTGCCAAAGACAAGCCCCCATCTCAACATCGGAAAACATATCGTACGATGGTACAATCTTACAAAATGTAATGAACAAAAATTTATGTTCAGTATCTATAAATTAACTTTAATAAATGAATACTTTGTTTTACATCGTCCTGTGCTACCATACCATGGATTTGGCTACTTTGGGCTCGCAAGAGATCTGCCCTAGCAACTGTACTGACACTCACAGCTGGTGGTGTGTTGGTGCATCGTTTCCATTGTTTACTGGTAGTTACTGGTAAATATTTTTCAACCTAACGAAACTATTACCCGTTTAGAGGTCGACCCCCAATTTTTGCCAAAAAATTTGGTCTTAAAAACTCGAACTACACACAGGTATATACGGTAAATAAGGACATGGGGGGCCAGGGATTTTTTAGGGAGGGGGGGGGCAGCAATAGTACAAGGATTTTTAACATTCACGGGTATCTCTGTTACCTAACCCCTGCGAATGTTAAGGGCCGACTGTATAGACCCATATCCTTAACATCCTGTCTATCTAAAATGATGGAGCGAATGGTATTAAATAGATTATTGTATAAAATTGATGGTCTCTTGTCTAGTGATTTGTTTGGATTTTTAAAAGGTAAAAGCACTACAGATTGTATGAAATGTCTTAGTAATGCTAATGTCAATTGTAGACTGTTTGTAGACCTTAAAAGTTCCTTTGATAAAGCAAATAAGGAAGTGATCTTAGAAAGTCTTGTAAGTAAAGGTATAAAAGGGAAATTATTGATGTGGATTACAGATAACTTAACTAACAGAAAAGCGAGTGTCTGGTTTCAAGGTCATGAATCGGAAGAAAAAGTCTAGGGTTGGGTACCCCACAAGGTGGCGTTCTTAGCCCTAGGCTTTTAATATTCTTATGGACAGAATAGCTAGTTACAAATTTCAGGGCGAGTCCCAAATAATCATTTATGCTTATGGCATTCTGGTCCAATGTAAGAATGAGGAAGATATGTCCATGGTCGTTGATCAGCTGCAGTATCTTTGTGTCTCTTTGGGACTGGTCATTAATGAAAATAAAACCAAATTTCAGTCAAGGGCAGTAAATGGAATATAATTTTGACTAAATGGAATAAAATTGCAAAAAGTATCCAGTTACAAACATGTGGTTAACGAATTTCTTACGAATGTTTCCCAACATGTTTTCGCCTGCTTTTGCCTGCTCACCAGCTGTAGTATTAGTCCGCCAATACAGTAATTGGTTTTAGGGCTTAAATTCATTCCCATTTGAGCAGATATCAAGAAGGTTGTACGATTCAATAATTTTCCAAGTCTTTTATTAAAGTTTTTAGTCATTTTAACAATTATTTAACATAATTGAAGTACAGGGAACTAGTTTTTAGCACGCCAAACAACCACTTAACTCCCCGGAATGGGGTCACTTTGTGTCTCTGCTCAGTGGAGGAAGCATCTTGCTTGACTCTCTCTTGAACATAAACTATTTTTACGTTTTTACAGTACAATTATTGGTCATTCTGAAGTTTATTTTACATATTGACAATATATAATGCAGTGTAGTGTTGATTTAAGGAAAATAATCTTGAATTACACCAAGTGAACTAAAATTTTAGGATGAAGTGGCGGCATGGGGTGACTTCTCTTCCACCCCAATACCTTCTCTTCTCTGTTCTCCTCCACCCCCATTCTAATTCCCATCATCATCATCATCATCAACCAGGAGCCTTCTACATGCACACCTCAAAGTAATGCACTTTACTGCATTTATTTTTAGTTTGCATGTAATTTTTGATGAGCTGGAACCAATTACCCAAAATCCCATTGAAACAATGGTTTCATAAACGAAATTTTCGGTTAACGAACGACCTTCTGGAACGAATTGTGTTCGTTAACCGAGGGACCACTGTAATGATAAAAGAAAAACACAAACTCCAAAGGAAATTTGCAAAAAGACCCATAACTTTTGGTGATGTTTACTGAAGTATGTATCAGAAATATAGTAACTCAAGCAGTTAGAAATGCCAGATGTAGCTATTATACTAATAAGCTCCAGTCAGCATCAGGTGACAGTAAGAAAACCTGGAATGTCATAAATTCTATTCGAAACAGGAACACTCAGCTTTTATGATAAATGATTCAGTTGTAACGGAACCCTCCCCCATTGCCAACCACTTCAATGAATATTTTATTAATGTTGGCAAAAATCTTGCAGAGAGCATCCCTGATTACCATGAGGAATTTAGAGCCTACCTGCAAAACAGACAGAAAAATTTGCTGTTATTATCCCCTGTCACAGCAAATGAATTATTGGCCATCATAAAAATGTCCAAAGATGCAGCAGCAGGTGAAGACAATATACCAATGAGCATCATTAAGAACGTAGCCCACTTATTACTACCTGTTCTCCTACACATTTGTATCTCCTCCTTCACTAGTGATGTCTTTCCGGATAAACTGAAAATTGCTAGAGTTCACCCAGCATATAAAAAATCTGGGGACAAAGGTCTCTTCAAGAATTACTCAGTCTTGTTTGTATGCAGGGCCATGATGTTTTTCCACACTTCAGGTAGAGGAACTTGTGGGTCATCAGTGACTTCCCAGTCGGTATCTTCTTGCTTACACACTGTCCTGGTAACTGCTTTAATCAATCCTTCCCTTGCATACCGATCAAAGATAAAAACTCTTGTTGTGAGTTCATTGAACAAACTCGTCACAGCCGTGAAGAACACTTCAGCAGTCGCCGAATGTCCGACAGCTGCCAAGCTTGCCAAGAGCTTGGACGAGTGCATGGCCATTCATCGTCATACAGGTCTTCAGATCAAAGGTTGAAACCTCTGAGCTTGTGGTCTGCTGTGCCATCAGGAAGTTCATCAACTCTGACTTCGATGTCAAATTCATCTCTCTTCCTGCCTTCACCAGACAAAATAAGACAGTTCATGCTTCAAGATGTTGACCATCTCCACCATGCGACCTGCGGTCACAGCATTCAGCTGCTGCTGTAGTAGCTTTCTGTCAGTTTTGATGGTCTTCTGCATGTTCTGCTTGGTAAAAACTGTAGCTTTGTACACATCAGCTAAGGTTATTGACCAATGTTTCTTTATTGTTTCATGAAAATGATCAGACTCTCCTTCATGTAGCAGATTACATGAGCTGTCAGCAGGTTCTCCACAACATCTCTGGGTGCAGTGTCTTTGGTTGTCAGTGAGACAAGTGGGATTTTAGTGGTGGCATCAGTATCTCCTGCTTCATCCACGAGAACTCTGAAGAAGTCAAACTGCTGCTACTGCTGAACAAGCTTCATGACATCATGATCGTCACGCGTAGTTCAAAAAGGCAGGCTGCCAACATTCTGTGATCGCCGATGCACCCATGGTCTGCTGCTGACTTCGCATCCTTTTGAGTTTGCCTTTAGAGGTGAATAAAGAGTAGCATGACTTGTGCTACTTGAGTTCCAATGCACTGAAATTATCCTTGGAATGACTTTCCAGTCTTTGTAAAGCATCAAGAGAATAACGCCTGTATTATTAAACAACATCTCCCCTTGAAGAGCGTCGTCGTGTTTCAACCAGAGTTTTAAACTAGACGAGTCCCGAGGGACACCACAGTACAGTACTTAACGGGGTGGTGTGGCGGAAAAATTAACTAATTCCAATAAAATTCATTTATATTGGAATTAGTTAATTTTACTGCCACACCACCCTGTAAGTACTGTACTGCAGTGTCCTTCAGGGCTCATTTAGTTTAAAACTCTGGTTGAAACACAACGACCCTCTTCAAGAGGAGATATTGTTTAATAATAGCGGCGTAAGTATCTCCCAGGTACTTTTTCTCATCACCCACAATCATAGTTCTTGCTTTTCCTTCTGCTGATGCTGTGCCCAAGTCACCAGCGCTGCTTTGGCAATATTAGCAACATCATTGATGACCTATCCTTCACTATTATTATTTTACCAGCTGGCACTGTTTGCACTTTTAACTGCATATATCAAACCAATGTCTGGCCAGCCAGAGCCCTGAAAATATTCAACATGACACAGTATGCTAATACTTGTACTATGGCAGTAGTAGACCCATGTGCACCTCACCCAGCATGCTAAATGTATTTTTAATGGAAATAAAAACACCCAGTCATAGTTCCATTCATTTATTATCAATAAAATTACAACAATATGCTTTATGTGCTAATGATATGCCTTTAAACACAGTTACATAGAGCCACCATCGAAATTAAAAATTCAGAATTTTTCAAAATTTGACATTTGTGACCTTGGATGTGACCCTCAAACCCAAAATTGAGAGTGGCATCCACCCACATTTTGTTTGGTATCCTCAATACAACTTATCTAAGGTGGGCTCCTGCTATTACCAAAAAAAAAATTTTTTTTTCTATATGACTTTACTCTTTGGCTGGCCTATTATAATGGGCAGTCATGCCTATGGGACCCAGTTTTCAACAACAAGTTTCAGAATTCTTCCTTAACAATATCTATTTCTTCCTGGCACTCCATCTTTAAAGAAGATTGGTCAATTAACTCAGGCCCTGGTGAAGCTTCAGTCTCACAAATAACTGAGAGTGGATCATAATTAGTTTCCTTTTTCACTCCTTCAGAAACACACATCTCCACTGTTGGTTGGCTAGACAAGCTCAAGTCATGGTGCAAATCCTGGCAACTTTCACCTTCATAGTGATTAAAGTTGACCACTTGGTCAGTCTGGTAACATCTCTCTACATGTAATATTAAACTCTCTTTCTCTTTAAAGTATTTCAGGCATCTTACACAGACGAAACGTGTTTGTGAGTGAACTTTCCTGTGTCTTACTAGAAGATAACTTTTAGAAAAGCGTTGATGACATTCTAAACACTGAAATGGTTTTTCTTCAGTATGAATTCTCTTATGTTTTATGAAAGAGGATTTACCTGAAAACTGTCTTAAACACTCGGAACACTGATAAGGTTTCTTTCCTGTATGAATTCTCATATGTTTGACTAAATTAGATTTTAATGAAAAATTTGTCAGACACTCAGAACACTCAAATGGCTTCTCTCCTGTATGAATGCTCATATGTTTGACTAAATTAGATTTTTCTGAAAAATTTTTCACACACTCAGAACACTGATAAGGTTTGTCTCCGATATGAATTCTCATGTGTGCAACTAAAGAAGATCTGAACGAAAAATTTTTCACACACTCAGGACACTGATAAGGTTTCTCTCCTGTATGAATTCTCATGTGTGTTACTAAATAACTTTTACTTAGAAAGTTTTTCAAACATTCTGAACACTCAAATGGCTTCTCTCCTGTATGAATTCTCATATGTCTGACTAAAGAAGATGTTAATGAAAAATTTGTCAGACACTCGGAACACTGATAAGGTTTCTCTCCTGTATGAATTCTCATATGTCTGACTAAAGAAGCTTTTAATGAAAAATTTTTCAGACACTCAGAACACTGATATGGTTTCTCTCCTATATGAATTCTCATGTGTGTTGTTAATCCACTTTTATGTGGAAAGTTTTTCAAACATTCTGTACACTCAAATGGCCTCTCTCTTGTATGATCTTTCACATGTGTTACTTGATGTGATTTTACAGACAATTCTCTGGGAGAGACTGACTGTTCCTCTGAGTGAACTTCCATTATAAAACTGTGTGTATTGCGTGTTCAAAGGTTTTAGTGACACTTAACTGGCAAACTGTTTCCTTGTACAAGAACTATTAATGTCTTGTTACTGTTAATTATATTTGACAATGAAAACTGAAACATAAATCAATTAGTGAATGTGATTTACTGACACTGATGTAATGATGCTGAGATGGGAGGACAGTGAGGAGGTAAGTGTGATGGAAGATCCAGTTTGTGATGTGACTACACCATTATTAACAAGGTTCCTCTATACCTCTTTGAACTAAATGTGAAAAATGGTGTAAAGAATGAGTTACACATATAACTATACTTGTCATTAACAAACACTGTTTATGACTTACAACATACACTATAAAAACACTCAACAGGGAAGTGTACAAAAACTATATACTGTACACTATTGTTATATGTACAGTTCCTCTGATGTACAGTAAACAATAATACTCAGGCTGATATACTACTGTACTTGTGATGGCTGGTAAACAATAATACTCAGGCTGATATACTACCGTACTTGTGATGGCTGGTAAACAATAATACTCAGGCTGATATACTACTGTACTTGTGATGGCTGGTAAACTTTTATTACATGTGGCAAAAGTCTTATGAGGGGGTGAATCTTTACACAAGTTTTGAATTATTTCAAAACATATTTCCACAAGAAAGAATAATTTCTTTTCTAGTTGTAATTCTTTGGTTCAGTTGGTAATACTTTGTCATGTCCACTGTTGTTTACATCTGCACCCAATATAGTGTTCTCACAGTCTACTGCTTCTCTTTCCACTGCCATTTGTTCTTCAGTTCATATCTGTGGGAAGGAAAGTTAAACATATTAGTGAAATAATCCAACAAATAACTCCAATACAGTTAAAGTCCAAAAATCCGGATGCCAGAAATCCGGACCACCCGAGAATCCACTTTTCAAAAACTATTTTTTTTTTTTAGCAGGCTTTTGTGTGTATGTGCGCATGCGTGAGCTGCACAGCGACAACAGGCGACCTCGTGGTCGCCACTTTAAAACGAGCAATCAAACTGTGACAACATACCGTATATACTCGTCTATAACCTCCCCTTGTTTATAGGTGACCCTGATTTTTTGACCAAGAAATCGTTAATTCATGATATTCCTCGTTTATAGTTCGACCCACGTTTTTGAGGGTAATGGAACAACAAAACCTTCAGTAAAAACACTACATCCTATAAACCGAGGCTCACCGTGCCTGAAACACGAGTGCCGAAGGCAAATTGTTTACCATTTATTATTACGACACTTTACACTGAAACGCGGGTAGTTTCAACAAAAATATTGTATATTTCCATTCAAATATTTATTCAAGTCAATTAGGAGGGAATATTATTGTAATACAGTTTCTTAACTAAACCATTCGAAAAGCGATTACGGTAACATCTTTTGAACGAAAGAAAGCGAAAGTCATTGTTTTCGTCACAATTTGATCCCACTTTCCACTGTAATACGTACGTAATTTCAGCAAAAATATTACATTTCCGTGAATGTATTATATCAAGCACAGTATGAATATCATATCATTGTAATTTAACAGAATTTTAACCGAAAACTATTAAAAAAACGAGTAACATCTCAAGAACATCGGAAGCTTAGGTAAAGTCTTTTGTTTTCGTCATGTATTTTATCCTATTTTACATTGAAATACATCACGTTTCAGCAAAACTACTATTTATTTCCGAGAATATATTCATTCAGGCGCAGTTTAGGTAAAATTTACGTGTGATGTAATAATTTTTTAACTGAAAACGATTCGAAAAACACGTACCCTCTAGCCCTGTTCAAGGAGAGGACTGGGAGAAGCTGTTTGGTGTTGCAGACGATGAAAAGGAAAATGATTTTGATGAAAATATTCAGAAATATGGTATCGTAGTATTTATTCAAGTCAATTAGGATAGAATATTATTGTAATACAACAGTTTTTTAACTGAAAACCATACGAAAAGCGATTACGGTAACATCTTTTGAACGAAAGAAAGGGAAAGTCATTGTTTTCGTCACGATTTTTTCCCACTTTCCACTGTAATACGTATGTCATTTCAGCAAAAATATTACATTTCCGTGAATGCATTATATCAAGCACAGTATGAATAGAATACCATTATAATATAACAATATTTTGAGTCCTACTCTTTCCATTTACAGAGTACTGTACAAGCCCATAATAATGGCTCCTAAAGTAGATAAACTTCGTTGTGTGAAGAGAAAGAAGAACACGTTGAAATTGAGTGACAAACTTGAAATAATTAAGAAACTAGAACATGGTGTGAGCAATACTGTTCTAATGGAAACATACGACATTGGAAAGTATACAATTTATGATATAAAAATGGCAAAGAATAAAAATCTAGAATTCACAGCTTTTTCATTAAAACTGCTCGTTTTGATAAATGAAGCACGCTATATTTGCTAATGAATAAACTATCAAAATGTACCTGTTCATCTCTTCTTTATTCCTCCTTAAATTTGAATTTTAAAAGTACTGCCTGAGAATCCGGAAAATCCGAAAATCCGGACCAACCCAATCCCCAAGCAGTCCGGATTTTTGGACTTCTACTGTAATATTTACCAACTTAAGAAGATAGAGACACAATATTCACACACACCTCTCAGCCAGCTATACATGCCAGTGAGGTGGCTGTGACCTAGCTGGAAAAATAGAAAAATAAATAAATAAATAAAACGATTAAAACTGTGTATTGACCCACATTAATATTTTGCCGACTTCCCTTTCCTTTTCAGACACTCCTCCAAATGGGCAGGAACTGAGTCAGTGAGGTTGTGAAGCCTAGTGGGGTCTACATTTGTCCATATTATCACAAATGGCTGCCTCGACCTTAGGTACAGGTGAAGTGTCCATGTTATGTAATTTTTGTTTCATAGTAACCCATAAGTTATCAGATGAGTTTAGGTCCGGTGAATTGCCCAGCCAATCATTAAAACACTCCACTTGACTGTCCTAAGCCAATAAATGATGTATTTAGCAGTGTGGCCCAGCCAATCATTAAAACACTCCACTTGACTGTCCTTAAGCCAATAAATGATGTATTTAGCAGTGTGGCCCAGCCAATCATTAAAACACTCCACTTGACTGTCCTTAAGTCAATAAATGATGTATTTAGCAGTGTGGCCCAGCCAATCATTAAAACAGTCCACTTGACTGTCCTTAAGTCAATAAATGATGTATTTAGCAGTGTGGCCCAGCCAATCATTAAAACACTCCACTTCATTGTCCTTAAGGCAATAAATGATGTATTTAGCAGTGTGGCCCAGCCAATCATTAAAACACTCCACTTGACTGTCCTTAAGGCAATAAATGATGTATTTAGCAGTGTGGCCCCATCCTGTATAAGTATTGACGAGCAACGGGTTGTTAGGACCCTAAGGTAGATCATTACATAAACACAAATTACTTAAGTCTTTTAAATATATCAGTATTTATTATGTTATTAGTCCCAAGTTCCTCAAGAAAGGTCAAGTTCACAGGTCAAAACTTGAACAAGTCAATAAAAATATGAACATTTATTAAATTGTTCCCACCACCACACATGTACATAAAATAAAGTAAATAACAATAATAATAAGATAAGATGTTTGGAAGTGGCAGAATAAGGACACAGAAAATCAATATCAAGCAATAACCAATCTCAATACAGTAGTCAAATGCCAACTCCCAAATCACCAGAGAGAAGGTATACTCAACTTAAGACAGCTGTGCCGAGACTGACTAAAGTGTACCAGCCGGTCGCCGACGTCACCTCTCTACCGCCAAATACTGACGTATCATATCCGGATTGGCCAAAACGTAAACTTTATCTTAATGACCCTACTGACATTAGTTCCACTATCTAACCTCTATGCAAACATAATACAACCAATAACACACGAGAGAGAACTTGTAATAAACAGGGACACCCACACAGACCGGAGCCCATACACACAGGCAGGCACCCATACACCCATGTGAACAACCGTTACAATGTTTATGGCACTTGTCAGACCAGATGGACACAAATAGTTACAGCCTCAAAGAATAACATGTATGGGGTGCCATGGAGATAGCCCCACCCATACAGTGTGCCAACCAATCAGGGTCAGAAGGACCCTTGGAAAAAACCTACTTTGATTGGAGATTGAATAGGCCTCCTCGACAGGATAGGCGGTGTAAGAAAAGACTGACAGTTTTGGCTGTGGAAGTGTGGGTGTGAGGTTCCTGCGTGTGGCCTGGCGACCGTCGATACTGAAGGATCAGTAATGTGTACCTAACGTTTTCTCTTTAGTCTTGCGGGTGTATAGTGAGCTCCATTTTCCCCCACGGTATCTAGTTAGAAATAGGATGAACACAGGCGACCTCATGTCACGTCCTTGCTGACTAAAATTAAAATGGAAAATGTCTATTTCCACTACCCTTCCTAACTAATACATTAATTTAAATCAAAGGGTTCCCCCAGTAACAGATGGATGGATACCAAAATGTACATAGTCAAGTGACCCCCTTTAGTAACTACAGTACCACCCTGACTTAGTAAAGTAAGTACAGTGTACAGCTTTGTCCTAAGGACAGTGTGTGCATGTAAATGAGTTTTAATAATTGAATAAAGTTACATATAAGAACATAAGGAGTCTGCAATAGGCCGGTTAGCCTGTGCATGGCAGCTCCTGTCGAGAGTTTCTACCACTCTCTATCATCCATGAATCTATCGAGCCAAAAATATTAGTTGAAAAACTTTTATGTAGACAGAGCTTGGATGGCTAAATTTTAGAATGACCAATAATTTTAATATAAAAAATGCAAAAAATATTCAAGAACACAACCTTCTTGATATTTACTCCACTGGATACGAATATAAACATAGAACCGATTAGTGTATTGGCAGACAAGCCAATCAGCTGATGCTCACAACAAAACGCTTTGTTGTAAGGATTTCGTTAACCGAAGTTTTGCTCGTTAACCGAACTGAAGATCCTTATGGGAGCTAATTCGTTAACCGAAATTTCGTTAATCGAACTGTTCGTTAACCGAGGGACCACTTCTTTGGGACATCCACTTCTCTCCTCTTCTCCTGTAGTTGGTATCATTCCTTCCGACGATGGCAACTGACTTCAACAGGCGTTAGTCACCCACTTGTCTGCAGGTACTGTTAACCGGATACCTTGTCCACCCGGATGTTAAAGGCAAGGTTGTTGCCAAGTCCCCAATTAATAGCAAACTCCATCTCCTTCTCACAGGTGTTGTAAGTAAACACCTAAGGTCCTATCGGCCGGTACCGTTGTCCCCTCGCCACTCCTTTCATTTGTATTGTAGGGTTGGACACAGCTCATGATCCCTGCACCACACATGTTGTCGGGGCGTGGTTGGGTGAAGGGTCAGGTGGGGTAAGATAGGCTCCCTTGGGTCAGCCCTGGTGAAGATGGCTGACCTGTACCTCCCTTCAGCAACGGTAGCGAAGTCCCACGGGGCTGTTATTTTGACGTTCTCTCTGTCATTCCGTTATTATCGCTGAAGATTAGAGCGTGGCAGACATGTTGTTATAGTCCTTACGCCACCAGACAGGATTTTATTTGACCTGTCGATTTATTCAGCGTTTAGCTGGACGTGTAAAGTGAGGTGGGATACCTGTATGGGCCAAGAGTCTTATCTGCAATCTTACTTGTGGCATCAGGGGTAACTTCTCCCCAAAGGAGTCACAGTTTCCCATTACTCCTCTTGTAATGGTCTATGTTTCATAAACATAAGAATTATATAAATGGGTTAATTACATTTGATTTATATACTGATTCAT